GTTGCCAGTAAAATGCCAACAAGGCCCAAAAGCAACAAGGTCCAAACACCCAGCACCAACAAAGTCAATTGCATTAGAACCAACAAGATTAATGCTCATGGGAGACAGATCTCAGCAGATCTCAGAAGCTAAGCAGGTTTTATCCTGGAGAGAACTTCGATGGGTGAACACGATGCGTAACAGGTGTTATAGGCTGCAAACTTACGTGGTGGGCAGTCTTAGTTGATCAGTAGAAGGCAGTGCAGCTAAATCCACTGTACGGGCTAATAATCCCCACGGCACGCATAGTGCGAGGAGACCTTTAATCCAGCAGTAGATTGACAAGTTGCTATCCAAGGGAAACTAAACCACTGAGATATAGAAGCTTTGAGTCATTGTATGTCATCAAAAGTAAATGCTTAATAACAAAAATTTGCCTTTTGTGTATTAAGGTATCGATTTAAAGCTTTCGTGACTGCAGGGATTCATCTTCTTGGTTCTTTCGGTAAAGTCACGTAGAATGGAAATAATAAAAATAAAACATAATAAAATAATTCTCACGACGATTCAGACTCTGTCTCCTTGACAGACCTGTTCTTCACCTGAGGACGGCTGCTTGCGTTGTGGCCGAAACGTCGTGAGAATTATGTAATTGTTTTATTTTTATTATTTCCATTCTACGTGACTTTACCGAAAAAACCAAGAATATGTATTAAGGTACTTAATTTCTGACCATTTAAAAAAGGATGTCATTGCTTCCTTGCAGTGTGTTTCGCCTAGTATGTGCGCGTCTGAGCTTAACGATGTCATTTTCAGTTGTAATTAAATTTTTTTACAGATGTAGGTGGTTAATAAATGAACTTCACACTTGTTGCAATTGCCATTTTTGCCGACACCATTTATAAACTCTACGAAGCATTTCAATACAATTGCAAAATGCTAAGTAATTTTTCTTAAATATTAACAAGGAACTTATTTCTAGAGAGCTGTGTGAGATTATAGATTTGAAGTTTTCGTGACTGCAATGATCCATACTCTTTGTTTCTTTCGGTAAAGTCACGTAGGTGAAAATAAAATAAAATATAAAATAACTAAATCACAACATTTCGGAGGCAACACACGCTTCCGTCATCAGGTGGGAAAACCACAGCAGAAAAAAAAATGTTTTGCCCACTACAGTACATTTTTTTTTCTAGATTTGAAGCTTTCGTGACTGCAAAGATTCATATTCTTAGGTTTTTTCGGTAAAGTCACGTAGGTAAAACATCAAAATTAATGAAAATAAAATTAAATAACGTCGTGATTTTTATTTGAATTTTTATCTTTATTTTATTTTCATTGATTTTGATGTTTTACCTACGTGACTTTACCGAAAAAACCTAAGAATATACATTTTTTTTTCCTGTGGTTGTCCCACCTGATGACGGAAGCTTATGTTGCCTCCAAAACATCGTGATTTAGTTATTTATTTTATTTTATTTCCACCTACGTGACTTTACCGAAAGAGCTGTGTGAGACTAAGCAGCTATAGAGCAGTGGCTGGCCTTAAGCGGAGACTCTGATGCCACTGACAAAAGAGCGTGCAAGTAAACAATAATGAAGGAAGCAAGTGGTCAGAATACATGGGGCAGTTTCATTTGTGCTAAGTCTCATGCAATTATCATCATCCACAAGAGGTTTTTTTTTGGGTTAGATCGCGTATAAATATATAAACGTGTCTTTAAAATCCGCCACCACCCGACACAGCCAACTAGTAAGGGTTGTCACGTAAACAGAACGTGGCCAATTCGTCACTAGTACAGCACACCGGTGTGTTGGAGAGCCAAGCCACAACAATTGTGACAACCCAAACGTGACAACCCTTACTAGTTGGCTGTGTCGGGTGGTGGCGGATTTTAACGACATATTTATATATTTACGCGATCTAACCCAGTAAAATATTTTTTGTGGATATTGGTCGCAAAAGCCTACGAGTTAAATTTTAATCATCCTTGTTATTTTACATCCTAAAGTACCCACTAAATTACCATACCGGTCAACCCCTTATCAGTGCCTACCTTATTACAGACCAATTCAGATCGTATTGGTCACGCCATGCCCTAAGAGCACGTTCATCCTACAAGGTCCCATCACAAGGGAGAAACACAAAGACAAAAAAAAATTGCCCGTATCAACACGGCTGTACGCCATATGGACCTGAAAACTCAATCTCCCTGTACAATAATACGGGTAAACCGCGTGGGTTGACAGCTATGAAGTACTGCAAATAAACATTTCTTACCTCCAATTATCACGGTTGGCTATGCAAGGTGCTAAAGAAGTTCAACATACATACATTCAAAGCAATCAAATGAATAACAGGATACACAATCAGTCACAAGGAAAAGGTATAACGCAATGCTAACAACTCAACATAAATGGTAGTATAATGATTCTACATCTATAGAGATGGGGAAAACAGCAGTTTTTGTCACTTAAACTTCCTGTGGTTATGAAAACACTTTATCACTCTACTAGCAGCCTGCTCATTAGCTAAAAGTCGTGTACCTACCGCTCGACATGACTGCTGGCCGGGCAGTGGTAATGAAGGAACTTGCTCAAGGTTTCTACTGTCTTGGGACGGAAGCTAAAAGCTGCTGTTTCGGAACCACGAATCTAAAGCAGGAAGCATTGATGCACTGGGGCCCGATGCTGCGAAAAGGTAAACAATATGTACAGTGTGGTCCAGATGTCTTGTGATCTCTCAATTAACTCTGAAGTTAATATTTCTTAAAGTAAGGGTTTATTAAAAACATAAATGAATGTGCAAAAGAAAAAAAAACATGTTAGGGGCCAATTAATTGGGGGTCGAAAGACATCTGGACCACCCTGTAGAATACGTGTTCAGCGATTCTGCAGCAGAAGGGAGGCGGAAACAGGTTTTGCGAGATTGCGCGCTACCGTTTCTCAGCCACCACGTAATCATGACACTGCCGGGAATGCTGTCCGTCAGGTACACCCATCTGCACAGCTTAGCCCAGTCAAAAGGTTTGCTTTGGATACCAATTCCAAGTCAATTGCAGAATAGCTTGGAGGTGAATCATCTGAGTGCAATCCCTCTAAAATCCATTCATTGACCTGTCAAACAAGCACTGTTCAAGGATAAATGTGATTACATATAAAACCTTGGTATATTTAATTGGTATATTTATTTAAGGGCTAAGTAATTTCTCAGGATGTGTAAGTGCCAAGTTAATTGTCATAGGCAGTATTGATCTAGGGGTGTAAATTAAATATTCCTATGGCAAGAGAAATATATGTCTCTGATACTTCACTTACAAGAAAATGGTACTCACTACAAGCCACTCATTGTCATTATTCCAGAGGGATGATGGGCTGAGTCAACACTGGCTGTGATTGGAACCTTAAATCTTATGTTTGTAAAGCTATACGTTTATGCAAACCGATTGTTAAAAAAGGTATCCTTATTAATATTCTAAAATCTTTAATGCAGCTCTCATTCTTGGAAAATAACCTCAATTTAAACCAAGAATTATACAAAACCTAGCACTGGCCATAGCAAATTTAGCTAATTTGAACACTGTTCAAATACATTTGTAATAAGGCATTCAATTCACTCTTAACTTGCAAGTTCAATTAACATTCTGAAATAAACTCAACCAATATGTGCATGCAGAGTAGAACATGCTGGCATAGTAGTCGGAACAATGTTGCAAGTTTATTATTAAATTCCCCTGTCTCTGTCTACCCAGCAATATAAATGGGTAAATTATGTTAAAATTACGTCAAATCTAGACTAAATTATGTTAGTCAATCAGCAATCTGACTGTGGTGGGATAAAGTGTGGGTAACTCTTACACGAAGTCTGGCCAGCGTAAATGAGGCCAAGGTAACCTCAGCAGGGAAGTCTCTCTCAAGCCCCGCTTACTGAAGGCCCTTTCTCCGCCAGTGGCGCAAGCCAGTGGTTCTCAACATTTTTTGGCAACTGTCTACCTCGTTGATTTTTTATGCAACCGAGTTACCCCGCGCTTGGCTGACCCGACATGGTTCTAAGAAATAAATGTATGAATGAACATACATTTTTTTTTACCAATTGTCCATTTTGTGAGGTATCCGACCGAGCCAGTAACTGCAAGTGAAGAAAAAATATATATTCACCGGATGCTCTGCATCCGCATGCATGACGTAATTTGTTCGCGCTCGCTGGTTACCCTCGGAAACGACATTGCTTCCGATCAATGCGTTTAGAAAGTTATTTTATATCATTCTCGCTAACCATATGGATTAACATTGTATCGTAGTTTTATATTGGCAGATTCATACGTGATAATTCAACAATGACTCATGTATAATATAACTTCACACATTTATAATTCACTTCATGTACCCCCCCATGAGACATTGCCACGGACCTCCAGGGGTCCGCGTACCCCAGTTGAGAACCACTGGCGTAAGCAATCAATTGGCAGGAATTGCCCCTTCACCTTCACCTTTCATGCAGCCAGCTAATCAAAATTGCAATCTCTTCTCAATTTAAAAACCCGTGTATGTCACGGCAACTTGCGGTCATATCGCAAATTCAGTTCTGCACCTCTATCACGAAATTGGGACTCTAAAATTACCCCATCCGACGCCGATGCCAATCGGGCACAACCAAACGTGCTCCGCGAACAATCTGTAGGACCTTGGGCGGCTTTGCAACTATTAAACAACCCACGCTACCACGGGGAGAGAGCCATGCAAACTCCGAATATACAGGTCGGGATGGAACCCACGACCTTCTGTCTACCAGGCAAAGTAGTTAACATCTCGCCACGGTGGCACCCCATGAAGAGGGTTATCGGGGCCATCCAACCTGCTAAGCTGTCGCTGGGCTGGAGGGCGCTACCACAGGGAGAGAGCCATGCAAACTCCAAATATACAGGTCGGGATGGAACCCACGACCTTCTGTCTACCAGGCAAAGTAGTTAACATCTCGCCACGGTGGCACCCCATGAAGAGGGTTATCGGGGCCATCCAACCTGCAAAGCTGTCGCTGGGCTGGAGGGCGAGCGCTGGCTCCGTGCGACCGTGGTCGGGCCTCGACGGGGGATGGTCCCCTTCCTCGTGGGCTAACCCCTGTCCCTCGTTCTGACCCCACCAGGATGGCTGGCCGTAGAGCGGGGTCTTGTGCAGAGGGGGGGTGTTCGGTGGGTCTGCTGGGAGGCACGGCGCGGGCGCGTTAAAACGGTGTCGCCCAGACGTTCGACGGCGTTCACGGCCGCTGCGTCCGGCGGAAAAGGAATTCCGGCGCCCGTTTTGAAATGCGATGGCGCGTGGAACACGAAAGCGCAATGAAACACCATTAACAAGATGTGAAAATTCAATATTGTCAGGAGTGTATACTTGAAATTCTATTGAAAATTGCGCAAGGCCTTCAACCTTTTCAAAACTAAGGTCATTAGAGCCAATGGTGCCACCTCCCCTCAATCTCTTTCTTCCTCATGCCATATTTCATATATGTTGCATCCAAATCTCCTACACGTGCTTTTGCAATATATAAGTTTATAAAGGAGTCAAAAAAACTAATCATTTTTTTTCCACAAAATACATTTCATATTATACTCATCATCATAATCTTCTGTAATTAACAATCCACTGCTAGATGAAAACTTCCCCACCATCTCGGAACAATTTCCGTCTCTTACAAATTTTGCTATGCAACAATCCATCTTGCCCTTGTACACGAGCTAATCTCATAGCCCCATCTCCAATGTGGTATTATACATTTTAAAATAAGTGTGCAAATTATTTGTGATTACAATGATTAATGAATGCTGGCCAGGGCAACACTGTTACATAGTCTACATCATGGGACCTCCTTTGCCAGTACCAAAATATGAAAATAGGTTTTTCCTCTGTTTTAAACAACTTAACACCTATTCTTGGTTCTTTCGGTAAAGTCACGTAGAAGGGAAATAAAATAATAAAAATATAAAATAATAAAATTCTCACGACGTTTCGACTGCAACACAAGCAATCATCATCAGGTGTGAAAAACACAGCAAGAAAATTTTCTAAAAGTGGCGTTTTTTTCTTAACGTGCCTTTCCTGAAAGAACCAAGAATATGAATCCCTGCAGTCACGAAAGCGTTAAATCAAAATTTAACACCTATTCTTGGTTCTTTCGGTAAAGTCACGTAGAAAGAACCAAGAATATGAATCCCGGCAGTCACGAAAAATTTAAATCGAAACTTAACACCTGTTTTGTTGCCAGATAAAAGGGCATAAACCTATTCTCACTGTTACATAGTCTTAGCTTGACCTCCTCTGTGTGTGTATGTGTCTGATGTAAGAAGATGACAGCTGGAAAAAATGTAGCACAACCAGCAGAAGTGCAGTGGTGTGGTCGATTACAAATTTTAATTAAGAGCACTGTGCTATTTTTTTTGGCACAAAACATTCCCAGAGTTACGTATATAAAAAATAAAAGTCTCGCAATATTCGAGTAGGCAGTTAAATTACTGTATGCCCAATCACACCTGTCAGCGCTTTGAAGTATGTTCACATCAATCAAAGGCACAGCTTCTTCTCAGTCCTGACACCCTGGTGTTTAGGACCAAATGTGTCTTAAGGAATTAATGGCAGGCGTTAAAACATCGAGGACTTTTAACTGCACTTAAAAACAAGCCGGCACGCAACGCACCCATGCCCACCACCGAAACACACATCAGAGGACCCTACAATCAGCTTTCACATGGGTTTACAAGTCCAGGTCCAATGTGTGCGACATTACAGCCGGGGCTAGACTGCCCCGCAACTCGCAAAGTTATGTACGCAGTTGCCAAAACACTCCTCAAAGACTTTGGTCAAACAAAATGACCTTTACAATCTTGGTCAACTTACAGCTGAAATGGGCAAACAGAACTTTGTGGTTGTAGAAGGCAAAGACCCCCCCCCCCCCCCCCCGCTATAACCTTAACAGACTCTATGGGCAAGTGCTGTTAGCGAGCACCAAATGAAGGCCGGCATGCCAGCACAGCACAGGAGGGGGTGGGTGGCCGCCTTTGTCTCCCTAGTGGCGATGTTTACACACCGCACCAGGTACTAATTTGAGGCCGAGTCGACCTAGGTGAGGCCCAGGACCGGTTCAGTTAATCGTCACTGGTATTGGCCGTGAGCGGGAATGGAACCCAGGTGGCCGGGTTCGTAGCGCAGCACGCTCACCGCTACACTACCGCTCCCATACGGTTGTACACACACACACATACATCCTTTCAATACACTTTGGCCTTAATGCTCACGGGTAAGTTGCCAAGCGTTTAAGTATGCATGTATTATACGTGACAAAAGCACACAACAGGCATAACCAACAGGGGAGCATCCAAGGAGCGCTGCCTTTGCTGCATTATACATTCAAAGCAGAAAGTGTGTTAATTATTAACCTTTAATATTCATTCAAACGGAGGTACTTTCAAATTAACTCAGTCGGCATGTCTGACCATGTGTGACATTATTTGCAGCAGCGTAATACTCGATGCTTGCTGTGTGATGTATTACCGGCTTACAACTCACAAAAAAAATGCACGTTTAAAAAAGGTTCAAACGCCATATTAAAGGACCAACTTCCAAATATTGTTCACGTACGGATAGTTCAATAACTTGATCTGTTGCTTTGCATTAGGGTCCGGATTTCAGCGATCTGACAAAGATAACTGTGCAGCTCAGCCAATTGTATTCGTGAATTTCATCAAATGCCCATACTTTGAGTTCTGAAAAAAAGAAAGAATGGTACTTATACATACACTGTAGGTTCAGCAAGTTTGCTTTGAGTTCAAACAATACCGAAAATGATTAACGATAATGGTGCATGCTAGGGTTATGGTAAAGTATCATCTTTTTCACAATCAATTGTGATTCACGGAGATATGTTTGTTCATATGCAATCAGATGGCAGTCAAAATGTAAAGGTGCCAAATCATTTGCGTGCATACACATAGCCAACGATTGGCAAACAGCGGAATGAAACTGATCACTAGGACTAGATTTTGGGCAACAAAGCCGCTCATTGTATCTTTAACATTACAGAGCATTCACGCAAGCTCTTTCAGACATTACAAACACAAAGGGCTCTTCTTGTCTTGTATATACATACCGAGGCCGTGTGTCCCAGGCTGTCTGACATCGAGTTTGAAGGTTTGTTATTCAGAAAGAAATGCCTTAAATGATGTATAGACAAGTGCAGATATTATTGCACTGCAGACATCACCAAGACGTCACTCGCATGGGGTTTTAATTCGTCACCTGAGCTATGACCGAGTGCCTAACCATGCTTTAAAAGTATTTTTTTTTCTCATTAACCAAGCTTCAAAAACCCACGTTGGAAGAGCCCAGGACGCACAGCCAAGGTATGAATCGACAAGAACGGAGATGCATGTTTTTCGCACTGAAACACAATGAACATTGCTGTCCTGCCAAACACACCCACAATCCATCCCATTGCAGTGGGATGTTGCGTAAGAGCGGGGTTTAAATCCCCTAGTCTGGCAAAACAACACCTCAAAACACATGCAGCTGCACGACCCTCTTAAGTCCGCGGTCAGAAGCGCTGCGCAAAAAAAGAACCGAAGCTGGCTATCTGGCTAAGTGGGCGAAAGCGTTTGCTCACACTGCACGATTGATAAATACACCGTCCAGTTGACAACCACGGTGGACCCGGCGCGATTTCGGGAAAGCGCTGCGTGTTGAAATATGTACTGCGCATACAAACAGCGCACTGTACGTTCCATAAAAGCACAGTTGGAAACATAGTATTGGTGGAGATGAGCAGCATTCAATTGTTCCGCAATGCAACATCCTTTTCTTGCAATCAACTAGTCTAGGACTCCCAGGCACTATCCTTTCATGTGCCATCCACCACCCACCCTTTCTCCTGACTGCCGTACAATGCTGCACTGCAGTCTTAACACGAAGCGTGCATCTGTTTCTCAGCAGTGAGCCTCTCAATTCAATTATTTAAATCGTCAAACAAACCCTGAATATTTTTCATATGCGACCATCTGCCGACCGCCCACACTGCCATGCCATGTCCCATCAGGGGAGCACGGCCATCGTTTATAAAGCTGCTGCTGGTCCATACGGATGAAACGGGCTGCATGGTAATTGTGCTATATACACACTTACGTGGACAATGAAGGTACAGTAGAGAGTGTACTCGATCAACGCAATGTTTACGTTGGCTCGGTGCAACATTTAAATTGAATCAATGAACAGTTGAAATTGAATCAATGTGCTGGACATAGTTCCAGGCACGGAACTGGTTTGGTTGTTCAAGCATACACTGTGCGCACACGATGAATACACCACCTCACTGCCAAAAGCACACATGACTGGCACATAAAAATAAGTATTTTTGAAACGTACTGAACACACACATCCTACACAAACGCTATACCACAACAGTTTTAATAAAAAAGCCTGAAAATACCTTTTTAACTGTGGAAGATGATCGTTATGACTTCGGATAAATGTACTGCCAGATATTAAACACGTCCACCATCTATTCCTGACGAGTGCACTGTATATCTCATTGCAGGCTGTTACTATTACTGCCCGCCCGCGAGTGCGTTCAGTCACCCTCTTGACAGAGAAATGACATCACGCGCACACGCCAAGTTCACCACCCCCCCTTACTTTAGTCACCACGGCCACGGCCAAGAATAATTGTGGCGCCACAAGGGTACGGATTGGAGGAACGGTGGAACGGACCTGCAGACGCCTTATCGTCCGGCGCGTGGGTCTTCACGACGGCCTGGTACTGGGTGTGAGGCTTGCATGGCTCAGAGACGACGGCCGACGTCTCTGGCAACCGCGCCTCAGCTGGCTGCGCTCCCAGCTGCAGCTGAATGGAGTACTTCTCGTGCTGAAACGTGCGTGCAGGATCACACGGGCATCACACATACGGCACACCTTTCTGACCACGGATGAGATTTTATACATCATCACGATCAACATCGCCACCATCGTGTCAACTTGATTTTTGTACACGTGGTGCGCCTTCAATATCGTTTGGTGTTTCTGCTGACGAAAATGTCGCCTTGCGAATCAAGGCAAATTAACCATATTGAATAAAAATCCACAAGCGTAGGTAGCTAAATATCTCTTGTTGTTTTTGAAACATTATACCAACTTTTTGTTACATCAGTGACCATGAGCTCCAGTTTGTGTATACTTTAACAGCACAGCTGTAATACAGAGTGACTTTGGCAGCAAATTAAATACAGTCCGTTTTCCAAAAGCTTTCGTACAAACAGATGTTCTCTTATTACCCAATGTTACCATGCAGTGCATTTCTATTAAACAATGTCATACGAAAAGCAGGTGTGAGGTCTCACCTTCAAAGCTTCCTCTGGTACCTTGTGTTCAATCTTCTCAACAGTGTACAGATTAGGATGTGATCCTCTGTTAAGGGAACCGTCTTAACTCGTAAATGTGGCAGAATTGTTGTGTGGGGTTGGGCACAGCCTACAGCTAATATGTCAATACCGATGTACTATACCTATGACACACCCAAAATATCATGACGCGATATTGAAGCATAGCATCTACAAAATTCCACCTTATAGGGGAAACGGCACAGCCCGGCATCTTCGGGTTTTAACAATGGAAACATCGGCTTGCTCTACATTGTTTGAGAACCATACTCCCAATTTTTATGCCAAGAGCGAGTGCATTCTTTGATTAGCATATTAACGAAGATGAGCGGCTGGTGTGGAAAGCGGGATTACCATTGTAATTTGAGGATTGGAGGTTAAAACAAATGTTTTTTTTTTCTCTAGACATGTGGATAACAGTGACCCACCTTAACCTTACCATAGCAATGTCACGACACCGTTTACGCACCGACTGAAACGTGTTTCATCGAACAACTTTTGACAAACACTTTTGGTTACCGTGGAATACGCTGGCCCAGTCTTGTGGTTGGGCCACAAACCTGCCATAAATGTATCCCAGCCAGGTGTATATAATAGTCTTCTGGTATCGAAGCTTTTTCAGAAATTGTTGCATGTCATTCAGGATCGGTGGGCTAGCTTTATATGCTTCACACTGGATTCACAGAAGCTCCCTTCTGAGACAGTACAGAAGTGTTAACAACTAGCCTTTGTCAGGCTGTTTGAATGCAACGGAGCCATAAGGCCCACACAGCTTGCAGATAAAAGAAAATATTTCTGTTATTCGCTGCCATGAAAGTTTCCCCAGTTAGGGACACCCAATAAAATGGATTATTCTAATGTTCGTCCAGATTGCATGTACTATTTCAATGTCACCTTCATGGTAACTAAACAACACAGACGGGCAATTATTCCATAATGTCTCCCAATGCATGCCTTCCAATCTGCCAGCAAAGCCAAATTCTTACTATAAATGCAAAACACCATGAACATCTGACATGTACTGCCGCGACAATGGAATGCTGGAAATTACTTACATCAAAACCAACTAGCCTACCACCCACAATAGCTGTTCACATTTCGGTATATTGCATAGAACGGTTAAACTAAAACTAAACTACTTTTATTTTACCAGGTAAGGCCCACTGGGCTTTTCAGCTCGTTTTCAGATACAAACCTGGCCACAAATGATAGCTGAACGAAGTGGCTTATCATGTAGACATCTATAGCAGCCAAACTCTAAATGCACGTTTCTCAATGTGGAGGGAAAAGCCGGAGGACACGGAGAAAGATCCAAACGACCATGGAGAGAGAGACACGCAAACTCCAAACATACAGGCGTTCGGATCGGGATCGAACTCGCAACCTGCTGTATAACCAGGGCAAGGTAGTTAACATCTCGCCACGTGCTGCAAATAAAGACTGTTTGACAAAGACGCAATTTTACGAAAAAAGGATATCGTAGCCAAACCTGATGGTGTCGTTCAACTTCAGAATGAGGTACGTGTGCTCTGGGATCCTGCTCTCGTTCACAAACGTCTGCAAGGGCAGCAAACCAAGTCAGTCCGCAAAGGGGAGCCTCAACGCGAGTGGCATTGCACAGCGAATGAAACGGATCACAGGATACAGAGCGCACTGGAATAGGGTGGGAAAGCCAAAACCTTGAAATTACATCTACGAGTAGCATGCAGGGGTCATCTGTGATTAATTACGACACCAAATATTTACCCAGCTACAATGTGTCAAGTTCAATGGTTTGGCTGCCATTCTGCCATGCAGATAATGTTCAAGTAGAGCAACCCACTGAGAACTCGTACAAATTACTTCTTAGTACATAGTACAGTAAAGCCTTGGAATGCGAGTAACTTGGTCTGCGAGTGTTTTGCAAGACGATCAAATTTTTGTAAAATAAATATTAAATTGATAAACGAGCGAGGTCTTGCAATACGAGTAGTACGTGTATACGCTTTGTCTGCCGAGCGTCACGTGATCACAACTGATATACGAGTGCTTTGATATACGAGTGCTTTGGATTACAAACACGTTTCCGGAACGAATTATGCTCGCAATCCAAGGTTTTACTGTATCAGAAACCACTGTCGAAATAGCCGAGAGGAATGTCACACAAGCATGCATTAAAACATCCAAAACTAGTTCAATTGGTGTGCATGAGCATGAAATCAGAAATATTACACATGTTGGAGTTGTATGAATACAAATGAATGACTCGTGTTCAATACAACGCAGCAACAACACCAACCTAACAGTGACTGCACACATTCGGTACATGATCACAATTTCATAATAATCACCACCTTAAAAATAAGTGCAACAAAGAACTACATACACATCTTGAAAAAAATATGTATAACATGGCATTCATCCCAGAGCATTTCCCATAAGCAGGTCTCATTTAAATGCTGCCTTTGCATTCTCCAAGCGTATCCCCACAGTGCTTCAAAACCTTTCATGTTGCGTGTTTGTGCTGCCTGGTGCATGACTATGACCTCTAGCACACACACACGCACATATCACCACCACTTGGGAGAAAGAGCCAGCTGTGCATGTTGTGTTGTCCTGGCCACAACACTGCCCTATGAGCTATTGCGAGTATTAAGGGACTTTAGGTATTTGTGTGCATACTCTAACAGCAGTGGCAAGTGATATCATACATGGTCTTGGGTCTCCCCTAAGTCGACTTACTTAAACGAGTACCCTGGTGTGGTTTGTAACCATCAGCAATGGGGAGACAAAGGCAGCCGGGGGTGGTGCAGCTGACACCACTCCCTTATGCCAGCCTTAATAGACACTTGCCAACAAAGCTTTCTCTTACAGTCTTAACTTTGCAGGGAGTAGTGGTGCAGTGGTAAGTGCAGTGTCATATGAACCCATCAAGGTAAAGTTCAAATGGCAGCTATGACGAACATTCGTGGCAAGTGACATTAGGTCTTTAATGGGTACCTGGTGTGGTGTAGAAACAAACATCAGCAATAGGGTGACAAAGGTGGTTTGGGTGTGGTGCTCACGACAACCCAACCCCCCTTCGCACACTGTGCTGACCTTAATAAGAGTTCGCTAACAAGACTTGGCCAAATATTCTACAATGCTTGTTTTGGTTCAAGTGTTTGTGTGTGGGGAGCGACAGTGCAATTGGTTCGCATACTACGTTATGAACCTAAATATTCGTACTCTTTGGTTCATTCGGTAAAGTCACATAGGTGAAAATAAAATTAAAATAATAAATAACTAAATACAGTAGAAGTTATTGTTGCTGTGGTTGTCCCACCAGATGACGGAAGCTTGCGTTGCCTCCGAAACGTCGTGATTTAGTTATTTTTTATATTTTTATTTTATTTTCACCTACGTGACTTTATCTAAATAACCAAAGAGTATGGATCCTTGCAGTCACGAAAACTTCAAATCTAGAACTAAATATTCGCGTCCGATTGCCAGTCGCAGCACACATCATTGGTTTGTGGGCATTATAACTTTCGCTGGGCCGAGGTTAACCCAGCCGGTGTGATACGCGAAACATCAGCCACTGGGTTTAATAGGCGGGCAGGTGCGGTGCTCACCGTCTCACCCTCTCGTGCTTTGTCTCGGACCTAAGATGCTCCCTAACTGCATATTCCAAAACAATCTTTAAAGCTGTATGGGGGGTATTTGTCTGTGAATAAGAAAACGAGAGGTCTATGAATATCAGGCTTTTTCCCCTTCCACAAAGGGCCTTCCAAGAAGAGACTGGCTCCATGCACCGAGACTATGGAAAGCCGATTCCATACGAAACTTGACAAGTCCCTCAGGATAGCAGTCAGGGTAAGAGGCATCGATGACTAAGCAAACAAACTCGCTTTGCATTTCTATGGCGGGTCTAATGGACAGCCTCCGCAGTAGAACAACGGGAATGACACAGTTGGCAGAGCACAAGTCAGTCAAGTGACTTGATCACTGACTGTAATTATCAGGGATCACTCCCCTTACCCCATTGAGGCTGCCCAGGTCCATGACTTTGTGTTCGTCAGTGGCAGGGTCGTAGTTGACCACGGCGTGCTGTCTGTCCACGCTTCGGGACTGCGAAAGAAACAAAGGGCGAGGAAGTCAACAGCTGTCGATGGGGAACACTGCTTTTCAAAACACCTGTTTACAACCGTCACCAACAATTGGCAACAACATTTTATCAAAGATACGCAAACACTGCCAAACATATCATCAGCTCCGTTCTTGGAAATTGTGAGTTTGGGGGGGGAGGGGGGTTAAGGGTCGTTCGCAATTAACATCGTGAGGCACAAGTTTTTGTTGTTCACGCATTTACTTAGTAAACGCTTCATTGAGTTGCATTGATTCTTACACACGTGATACCCTCAACGGATTTTGTGCATGAGAATCGATGATTTACAATTTGTAACCCTGTATGACCTATTTGAAGAAACCCTGGAGCCATTTCATATGATACATAAAGCACACGACTCAAAAAATATAATCGTGACTAAAATTGAGAAAGGCCACGTATGTTGCATGCATGTTGAACTTCTTTCGCACTGTACGTAGTCAATCGTACGACTACACTATTTTTAGCTATGATTATTTTACCAGGTGAGGCCCACTGAGCTATACATCTCTTTTTCAGAAGCAATGTGGCCACAAATGATAGCTCAACAGCCAAATACTCGACACACACGTTTCTAAATGTGGAAGGAAAAAAACAGAGGTCCTGGAGAAAAATCCACACGACCACAAGGAGAACGTGCAAATTCGAAATCCTGTATAAAACAGGCATCACGGTCGGGATCAAACCCACAACCTCCTGTATACCAGGCAAGGTAGTTAACATCTCGCCACGGGGGAGCCCTTAATTATAAATACTACTAGCTTTTTTACCCATCCAAGGATGGGGGTATACTCTTTCGTTCTTTCGGTAAAGTCACGTAGGTGAAAAAATAAAAAAGAAATAAATAAATCACGACGTTTCGATTGCAACACAAGCAATCATCATCAGGTGTGACAACCACAGCAAGATTTTTTTTACTGAAGTGGGAGAAATGCCGGAGTTAAGGGGGGTTATACAAGTCAGAGAGGGCGGTGGGGGGGAGGGTGGAAATGAGGAGAGGGGGAGCGTTGCGTGTGCGAAACGTCGTGATTTATTTCTATTTTTTTATTTTTCACCTACGTGACTTTACCGAAAGAACCAAAGAGTATGGATCCTTGCAGTCACGAAAACTTCAAATCTAGACGGGTGTACATTGCAGTAAATCTGAAATATTCAATAGAAAAATTGTTCAGCTCATGATTATTAATGAGGGGGGTGGGGTTGCCCCATGTGGAGTGACGTCACCCGCTCATGGTTATTGTGGAGGGGTGCGGCATGTGGAGTGACGTTACCTGCTCATAATTATTAATGAGGAAGGGTTGCCCCATGTGGAGTGACGTCACCCGCTTATGGTTATTGTGGAGGGGTGCGGCATGTGGAGTGACGTCACCCGCTCATAATTATTAATGAGGGGAGGGGTGCGGCATGTGGAGTGCACGACCTTTTTGTGCGTTGGGGGGGCTCTTTTGCAGTGACGTCACACATGAATGTAGCACTGTGCTGCGGAGATTTATTTTTTACCGTCACTTTCTGTAAAGAAACGTCAAATTTGAAGTGACTTTGCGTAATACATTATTAAATTCAACACGACCTTCCTCTGGGTTAGTGTAAAAATCCACCCACTCATGAATATTAATGCAGGGGTGGGCATCATGTGGAGTGACGTCACGCGGGGGGGGGTGGGCCTCATGTGGAGTGACGTCACGCACGGGACAGGCACATTATTGGCTTATTATAGTAGTAATAATCATGGACCTTCACTGCCTCTCCATGTGCTGTGAAAAAGGGCATTGCCTGTAACGTCAACTATAATATACTGTTTCTTTTTAAGGCAATGTTATGAACGAATGTGTTTTTTGTTGTTGTTTGTGCTTGTGCACCACTGCCAATGCAATGTCAAATCAGCTCAAAAGGTACACTGAGCCATGGCTGCTATTAACAACATACCCGGGACAACCGTGGACTGCAGTTTAATTATTATCTATGTTCCACTGGTGAAAATATTCAGTGGCAGTCATTATTCGTATCCCAAGGCTGAGTGCATTTTCGAAATAATGTAATAATTGCTGTTCGAAAGGGTTTGGGTGAACCAGCGTACGCTACAAGAAATTTTTTTACGAAATTAAACGTACGCAAACTGGTTACTGGGTTCAAAATGATATATCAACATGTGACCTTCATAATTCCGTGGAAATATAATTAAGATATGAGAACGTGCACTTATTTCTCATCAACGGTACTGTACGATGTCACACATTTGTCTTGCTGCGGACTGACGAGAGGTATAGGAGGATACGTGAAGAAGTCAGATCTGTGAACATCAATCAAAACTGATAGTGATACAACCACGCACAAAAACTGGATTGAGGTGTGGGTGGTCAATTGATCGGGGCAGATTTGTGATGGCCAGCTATATGACGGATACAGAACAATAAGCAAATCACCGATACATTTGGCACGCAATAGGAAGTGCGGTCGTATCGCTAACAATTACCCTGCCCAAATGTACTGACATTTTTCTTTCCCCACTGTACATGTAATCCAAGCCTCCTTTTTGAGTCCATTTAGCTCGCTTATGGCCAACTTTGATCTTGAATCGTACGGCGTGAAATTCCTCACCCATGTAATCCTGACAGCTTTCCGAGAGATGAAAACTCACGTATGCCAAACAACTCTGAATCCAAGAAACAAAAATCACCCTCCTCCTCCACATTATGTGCTTAAACTGGCTGCTCCTGTTTATGGCGGCGGGGAACAGCTAAACCACCTGAAGCAACACCTAATGACTGGTGCGCATTACTCATTAGCAAAGAATTTTTTTAAAAAGACTGGCAACAGAAACACTGCACAGTGAAATCTGTTCTCTCTCCTCAAGCGATTAAACGCAAATTTAATGGTCGATTTCGATTTAAAGCTTTCGTGACTGCAGGGATTCATCTTCTTGGTTCTTTCGGTAAAGTCACGTAGAAGGGAAATAATAAAAATAAAACATAATAAAATAATGCTCACGACGTTCCGGCCACAACGCAAGCAGCCGTCCTCAGGTGAAGAACAGGTCTGACGGAAAGACAGCGTCTGAATGACATTCAGACGCTGTCTTTTTGTTTAATTTTTATTATTTTATTATTTCCCTTCTACGTGACTTTACCGAAAGAACCAAGAAGATTAATGGTCGATGTTATTTAAACGCATCGGGGACCCCCCCGGCGTGCGTTCGGCTTGGGTTCCTTACCCTCTTTTGCAATCAACGCTTGCGCGTACACGGCCACTCCCGGGGGGAGCCGATCGCAGCACGAGATTGTCAGCGTGCGGGCCTCCAACACAGCGGCACGTTTCACGGAGCTTCTAATCCAAGCCGTGTTGGTGTGGATGACTCGCGTCGCATCTGCCAATGTAGCGACCGCCTATTTTAGTGATGGGCCCACTTGCTTCTTCTCATCGATGGTTATTCACTGGTATTCTCACACCCTAAGAAAATGCGGTCGCGTGTGTGCTTGTCCAATGCGGCGCGTGTTACATTGTAGCCAATAAATAAATAAATTAATAAGAGCCATGTGTCGGCTCTCCATTTAAAAATGACATTGTGTTTTTATTCCATTGGCTTATGGGTCACCCAGACCAATGTTTTCATTCAGAAATACTGTACAAGTAACACAACTTTTAATAGGTTACAATTATCTGTCCCATCAGCAGTCAAGCCCCTCAAGATAAGTACACTTTTACTCAGATGGACACATTTTCATCCACTTATATGTCACCCATAATCTTATACGATGGCTGAAATAATGATTTAAGAACAGTGTTTAACTTGGGCCTACCTGTTTATGCATACAAGTAGACATCTATATATATAAAATCGTTCATGTCTGTGTGTCTGTGTGTGGACTGCACTTTCATTGGACGGCGGTTGCCCCTGGCAACGGCTAGCCACGCCTTCGCCGCTTTCATTGGACGGCGGTTGCCCCTGGCAACGAGTAGCAACTTTTCTCCGCGGGGTGGACGCCATTTTTAATAGCGCGGGGGGGGGGGGGGGGGGACCGGCACCCGTACCCAGCGTTCGCCGGGTGGGAAAATCAGGCAAGGCGGGAGGCTCTGCACGGTGCTAGGCCTCGACACCCAACACGCCACTCTGAGGTAAATTCATACAAATTTCACGTCCTCTACAGAGTGGCGAGGGACGCAGAGTGGCGAGGGAGGGACTCAGCCTCAAAACGAGTAACTGGTGTGGCGTATTAACATCGCCACTGGGGAGACAAAGGCGGCCGGGCGTGGTGGATACAAGTCCCGGGCAAAGCCGGGTCATGACTATGTGTGTATGTGTTTATGTGTATGTCTGTGTGTCTGTATGTATGTGTGTATGTATGTGTCTGTATGTGTTTGTGTGTATGTATGTGTGTGTCTGTATGTATGTGTGTGTGTATGTGTTTGTGTGTATGTATGTGTGTGTTTGTATGTATGTGTATGTCTGTGTGTATGCATGTGTGTGTATGTGTTTGTGTGTATGTGCGTGTATGTATGTGTGTGTATGTGTGTGTCTGCAGCAAGCGCGTGTATGTGTACCTATGGACGCGCGCGCGTGTGTTGTGTAGGGGGAACGGTAGTGTAGTGCTTAGCGTGCTGCCTGTGTCTATGTGTGTGTGTCTGTGTGTGTGTGTCTGTGTGTGTGTGTGTGTCTGTGTGTGTGCGTGTGTGGTGTGTAGGAGGAACGGTAGTGTAGTGCTTAGCGTGCTGCCTGTGTGTGTCTGTGTGTGTGTCTGTGTGTGTGTGTCTGTGTGTGTGTGTCTGTGTGTCTGTGTGTGTGTGTCTGTGTGTCTGTGTGTGTGCGTGTGTGTGTGTGTGCGTGTGTGGTGTGTGGGGAGCGGTAGTGTAGTGGTTAGCGTGGTGTCTGTGTGTGTGTGTCTGTCTGTGTGTCTGTGTGTGTGTTCTGTGTGTGTGTCTGTGTGTGTGCGTGTGTGGTGTGTGGGGAGCGGTAGTGTAGTGGTCA